TGGGCATGATGTTCGAGTCGAACATAAGTACATATGGTAAGGGTGTTTGGCGGAGCTATTCGCACTGCTCCCTGACAGTGCATTGTGATTAGCCAAAGCAATGCACCTGACCACAAGGGGTGACTCTGCCCCCTTGCGACATCATCACAGTATTTAAGAACTGTCATACTGACACAGCTGTCAGATGGCAGGAGCCAGCATTGACAGCAGAGCATTCTTTTTTCTTTTTTTCAGGTCAGTGGTGGCGGCGGGCATTATGATTGATGTTGGATCTACTTTGGGACATTTTTTTTAATTTTTTGGTTTTTAATAAAGGCCTTGTAAAGACTGTCTTCAGTATTTTTTACACTACATTTTTTTTGTGACTGAGTACCAGTCCAGATTCTGATAAGCCCCCCCCCCCCCCCTGCCTGCAGACCCCCACAACAACTGGCCACGGTTGTGGGAAAGAGACCCTTGTCCCCATCAACATGTGGACAAGGTGCTTTGGGGGGGGGTGTCCCTGCCCAAAGCACCTCCCCATGTTGAGGAGGTCATGTGCCCTAGCACTCACTCTCCCCCCCCTTTGCTGACCTGCCAGGCTGAATAAGCTCAGATAAGGGTCTGGCATGGTTTTTGGGGGTGACCCCCACTTCATTTTACAAAAAAATTAGTTGTGGGGGGTTCCCCTCAAAATCCAAACCAGACCCAAAGGGCTTGGTATGAATGGGGGGGGGATCTATGCCGTTTAAAAAAAATAAATGTTTTAATTGCCAGGCAATGCTGGCAATTCATTTTACATTCAGCTTTCAATGGGGAATCCCAATGACAGCTGGAACATGAATGAATGTTTTCACAACTGACATGACTTATTAATATAACTTATAACGTATTTTAGCATTTGAGTATTTTGGTTTGTCATGTTTGCCCTTTTCATTAGTACAAGTCTTACTGAATACTTTCAATTCGCAGAAAGCAGCATAATTACACTGTTTAGCAGAGCCTAGTCTGAGTCAAAACTGGGTCTAGGGGTAAGCAGAACGGGTGACTGCTTTGGGCAATTGATCAGCACGCCAAAATGACAGGACCTGAAACCTATGCTGCTGAATTAAGTCACAGCTCATGGGATAATATCAAATAATTTGAGATCATTTCTAATGAGGTAACATGCTACTTTCTGTATTGGTTATATGCGGTATGCGCTTTTTCTAGTATTTTCAGGAGAGAGGGAATCATGACTCATGACATTAGCCAGCTGGGATCCTAGTCGGAGTTCTTCTTAGACTGGGAGCACGCTGAATTTGATGAACTTTCATGCTACGGATCTGTAGCTTGATATACTGTCATTTCTACATGGCTTGTGAGTATATTTTATGAAGATTATTATTAATAAAATCTATATGGGATAGTGCACTAGGCCGGTGTACCATCTTCTGTTTGTTTGTTTGCAGTTGCTATTTGGGACTTTCCCAGTCCTTAGAGGGCAGCAAGGTCTAAATCATCCATGTGTTGTATGGAAAAAGTAGCAGTGACATCATCACTGTAATGTACATAGCCTGTGCAGAAAGCAGAGCTGTGGGAAGGGCCCAGCTGGCTCCACCCACTACAGGCTGTCTGCAGAAAACTACCAGAGGAGGAGAATACAAGATCAGCCATCCTGCACAAGGAGAGAGAGTACCAATCACTGATCTTTCTTACAGGAAGCTCCTGCAAAGCTTCACACTGGAATACTGCACAGATGAAGTACACAAATCACATCAAGATTCAAATAGGAATACACATGGATCTTGTACTTAGACAGTATTTATTTACCCAGAGTTCAGCTGTAATGTAAATCTCCAGCTTTTGGTGAAATGTATTTGTTTGTGTTGACCAAGCTGGTCTAAATTAACTATTTACTTCACTAAAACATGCAGCGACTCCCAGCACTGTATGGATGTCTGTGCTAAAAAGAATGACAATCAATTACCTTCTCATTGCCTGTGTGATTGTCCCATTGAACTGCTCCCAGGGGCAGAAATACCTTTCGGTCACCTTTTCAAACTGTCTGAACCTGAATTAAAGATACTCAAGGGATAGCTTGATGAGAATTTAGAGAACGGTTTTATCAGACACTCAACATCTCAATCAGGGGTAGCCCTGTTCTTTGTTGAAAAAAATGGACTCCACCTTGCTTACGTGCAGGGCCGCTGATAAGGGGGTACCACCGGGCCTCCTGTAGGGGGCCTGGGCCCCATCACTTACCAGGGGGGCCAACCAGCTGGCAGCTTCAAGTTTCAATGACATGTTCCATACAGGGGGGGCAGACTGACCATTCAGGACTGCCTGAGGGCCTGGGGCCAGTACAGGTTCCCATGAGAGGCTCCGTCACTGCACCTCTATTCATTGCAGCATCAATCATAATCCATCAAACTTGCTTGCAAAGTGCTTTCTGTTTGCGGTGCTCTACTCAGCAGTTCAATTTCCTATTAGTCCTGTGACATGTGATCGGTGCCCCCATCCTCCCCGCAGACACACAAGCCCTTACATGAGGACAGGATGGAGACAGCGGAGAGCCATGCATGACAAGCCCTGCCCCTACACTGCAGCCTGGCCAGCGGCTATTCAATGGCCACCGGGATCACTGCCCCAGCTCTGCAGCCCTGATCTCCCATTAATTCTGCTGTGTCCCCATCTGGGAAGACCTGGAGATCATGTGTGTGGATGGAGGATGATCTTCACACACTCCTGTGAAAGGGACTATGGAGGCGGCAGATTTTAATATACAACACACAGTAGCATTTCTGGATCCTGGCTTCCTGAGCCTACAATATATCAGCCTAAGGCCATAATTGTGAGTAGCAGACATACTGACCCCCCTCTCTCTCACCTTGCCCTCACTCACCACCCCCCTCTCTCACTCCCCTCACTTCCTCCCCTCTCTCTCACACCTCCCCTTTCTCTCCCACTTGTCCCCCTTTCTCTCTCACCTCTCTCTCTCTCTCTCTCACAGCCCCCTCTCTCTCTCTCTCATCTTCCCCCCCACCTCCCTCTCTTTCTCTAACCCCCCTCTCTCTTTCTCACCTCCCCCCAACCCCCCTCCCTCTCATCCTTCTCCCTAACTCCCCTCTTTCCCACCCCCTCGTCTCTCTCTCTCTCAACTCACTCTCATACCCCCTCTTTCACCCCCTCTCTCTCTCATCCCCCTCACCTCTTCTTTCTCTCATCCCTTTCTCTCTCTCCCTCCCTCTCTTTTCACCCTCTCTCTCTCTGTCACCCCCACCTCTCTCTCTCTCTCTCTCATCCTCCTCCCCCCCCCCCATCTTTCACCCCCCTTCTCACCTCCTTCTCCCCCCCACTCAGGGGGTGGGGTTGGGGGCCCCATTTTGTAGGTTGTATGGGGCCCTATGATTTCTAACAGCAGCCCTCCATAACTGCATTGATCACAGGGATTTAAATAATATCACTGTTAAAAATTGTTATCCACTTCCCTTAATCACTGAAATGTTGGAAAGGCTCCATTCTGCCAAAGTCTTTCAAAACTATATACACTCTCCGGCCACTTTATTAGGTACACCTGTTCAATTGCTTGGTAACACCAATTGCTAATCAGCCAATCACATGGCAGCAAGGCATTTAGGCATCTAGATGTGGTGAACAGGACTTGCTGAAGTTCAAACTAAGCATCAGAATGGGGAAGAAAGGAGATTTAAGTGACTTTGAAAGTGTCATGGTTGTTGGTGCCAGACGGGCTGGTCTGTGTATTTAAAAAAAATGCTGATCTATTGGGATATGCATGCACAACCATCTCTAGGGTTTACAGAGAATGGTTCGAAAGAGAAAACATACAGTGAGCGACAGTTTTGTGGCCAATAATGCCTTGTTGTCAGAGGAGAATGGGCAGACTAGTTTGAGATGATATAAAGGCAACCGTAACTCGTGTCAATATGTTGAATCTATGTCACGTAGAATTAAGGCTGTTCTGAAGGCAAAAGGAGGTCCAACCTAGTACTAGCTTGTACCTAATAAAGTGGCCGGTGAGTGTATGTTTTGTCCGCATTCATTAAGGGGATGAATAGAAAACTGCCATTAAAACCAGATATAGCCATTTTGAGTCCTTCATTGTGCCTTTTGACTATTGCTATGCTTCTACAACTTTTCAAAACTTCATAAATTATGTTTTTTGTGATCTATGGGACCAATTTGTGATGGCAAATATGAATGTTATTCTCATCTTATCTGATAACTTGAAGGAGTGCCTTTGAAAGATTAAGGAAGAACTGACTTTATATCAATCTAGAGCAATGTCAGTTTGAACGTACTCAGATACAGTTTTTGGGATACATTACTTCTCCAGAAGGAGTGAGCATAGATCCTGAGAAGATCAAAGAAATGGTGGATTGGCCTTCTTTTAGAAATGTTAAAATGGTTATAAAGGCTCAACGTTTTTACCTTCCTGCATTCTACGCATGAGGGTAAAAAAACCTTCTGTGTGCAGCAGTCCCCCCCAGACCCCCTAAATACTTACTTGAGCCCTATCACAATCCAGTGATGTGCACAAAAGCCTCTGGGGCATGGACATCATTCGTGACAAATTGCATTGGGTGGAGACTGTGTTCTTGACATCATCACGATTACCTCATCATTTGATTACCGGGAAGTTGAATTGGTTCCCAGGACCAGAGGTCTTATTTTTGTACACAGCGCTTATTTGTCTACTTAACTGTGAGTGGAATTCAACATTTTTAATAACAATTGTCCATATGGTTTTACGCAATGTTGTCTCTCCTGTTTCTTCCTTTACGGTCCAATTGAATGCACATATCGGAGAGACATATACAGTAAGATGGGGATAGTCTGAAGGGATCCTTTTTGCTTATTATGATTGTCCAGCATCTTTCCTCTGCTTGAGAGTTATGGTGGATACTCATCTTCAGGCCATTACAGTCATGCGTTTATGACTCTAAACGTTTATGCTACAGGGCGGCAGGGGTGAAGAAATCATGTATATATACATGATTTTGCATTTCTGGGTAGGGAGCGTGCACAAGCCACCATTCGCGGCCGGGGCTGTCAATCACCAGGTCCCGGCCGGTGATTACCTGTCTGCACCGGGGGATTACCGAGGATCTCTGACGGGGAGGAGGGCTGCTTTTTTTACTAACAGTCCTCCTCCCTCTTGGCTCAAGAAAACTGCTCTGGAGGACTGTGCACAGCTCAGCCATCCAGAGCAGTGTGCTTACAGTGAAGCACCAACACACTGCCCCCCAGTAAAGCACTCCCAGAACACAGTTACCCCTTTGATCACCCCTCATGTTAACCCCTTCCTGCCCACTGCCATTAGTACAGTGTCAGTGCTTTTTTTTTATCACTGATCACTGTATTGGTGTCACTGGGGATGTCAGTGACACTAAATCAGTTCCCCCCAGTATCAGAAAGCCTGCCGCAGTCCCCACAAGTTAATGATCACCGACATTAAGAAAACAAAATCCAGTATCTATACCGCCATTTGTAAACACTGTATCTTTCATGTAGACCAATTGATTTACACTTATTGGGATTGTTTTTAACAAAGACATGTAGCAGAATACATTTTGGCATAAATTTATGACGAAATTTGATTTTTTAAATTTTTTACTGGACATGTTTAATATCAAAAATCAGAAATACTGTTTTTTTTCTTAAAATTTTGTTGTTTTTTTTTTATAGCGCAAAGAATAAAACCCACACAGGTGATCAAATACCATCAAAGAAAGCTCAATTCATGGGAAAAAAAAGGACGTAAATTTCATTTGGGTCCAGCGTTGCATGACCACGCAATTGTCAGCTAAAGTAACTCAGCTCCGTAACGCAAAAATGGCCTGGTCAGGAAGAGCGGTAAATCATCAGGAGGGCACGTGGTTAAGGGTCCACATGTTCTGGTAAGAGTCCTACCATTACTTGGTGGTGGTGCACTTGATTTATTTGAATACATGCAGTGTTTGATTACACAATAATAGAATATTGGGACTTTACTCACAATTTTTGTATTGGGTCTTGATTATTTATTGTTATTTTCATTTTTATAATTTTCATTATTTATGCATTTATCTTGATAACAATGATTTATTTATGCTTATTTGTACACAATTGATCTGATTGTTTTGCCAGCAGCTTTTTTTTAATGTAATTTTTAACTTTTTGCGCAACTTTTTTGCCACTTTCTTCTCCCTTCTTATTGGATGAGAAAGCAGATCACAGCCAATGAGTCAATGAGGAAAGAGAAGGGGCAGGCTGTGCATTGACGCTCAGAGCAGTGGCTTGGGAGCAACTCTGTTTAGGTGTCCCTATAGCAAGCTGCTTGCTCTGGGGCACTAGGCAGGATGGAGGGGCCAGAAGCGCCAGTGGGGGACCGGAAAAGAGGAGGACTGGGGCTGCTTTGTGCAAAACCATTGCACAGAGCAGGTATGACATGTTTGTTATTTTTTAAAAAATGCCTTTAATATCACGTTAAAGAAATATAATGATTTGTTGATTTTGCCAACTTCTACAGAAAATTCATAAGAGATTTCTCTAAGGTGAAATCATCAAATAAGTAGCTTACAAAGAAAGGGTTGTCCATTGTGGCATAGGCATAGACTGCCTTTAGTGAACTAAAGACTCTTTTCACTCCTGCACCAATATTGGTACATCCTGATTCTGAACATCCTCTTATTGTAGAAGTAGATGTTTCAGACTCTGCTGTGAAAGATGTCCTTTCTCAACAAAAAAAGAGAGAAAAGATGCAGCTTCATCCTTGAGCTTATTTTTCTCATTTAATGTATTCATCAGAAAGGAATTATGTCATTGGGAATAAAGAGTTGGAAGCCATTTCAAAATGGATGCATCTGCTGGAAGGGGCTAATCACCCTGTAACCGTTCTCACTGATCATAAACATTTGGAATTCATTCATTCTGCCAAGAGATTGATTTCTGTTGTTCTCTGTTCTTTTCCAGGTTCAATTTTATCATCTTTTATCAACTTGAGTCAAGGAATGGTAAGACTGATGTCTTATCAAGGATATTGCCTGAGCCTCTCCAAGAAGGCAACTCTCCTAGAACTACCTCGGAGCTACAAGTTCCAAGACATTCTTGAGTCTCCACAAAGAAGGGTATGAGAATGACCCACTGCTCAATCATCCTCCTAAAGACATTAACCTCAAGTGCATGAACAACTTTTAGGCTCAAGTACATCATCCCTATGTACCTCAATTGCTTCAGGTAGAAGCGCTTATGTTGGTGCTCTAAACTCTAAACTTGCTAGGCATTTTAAGGTTTCTAAGAAAAAAGAACTTGTATCATATTCCTTTTGGTGGCCTGGTTACAAAAAATATATTTCTCCTCTCACCTTCCAGGGTGGCACACCTGAGAGATGAGAGGCTCCTCCCTAGAGGAAACACAATCAATTGACATCTGTTAAAAGTCCCCACCCTTCCCCTTGATCCTCAGTATTGATTGTGTTTCTCCATAGAAAGCAGAACCTTTGTTGTTTTCACTGACCAGAAGGCCAGGGAAGGTCAGATAGTACCCCTGTAAGGCAGGCATAGAGGGGCCGGGGGCTGATCTATCCTGCAAGTGTCTCTCACAGGATTGCCCTGGATTTACAGCAGCGATCCGGACATAGGGGAGTGTGTTCCGCCACTGCAGCAGACTGTACAAGTCTCTCTCTCTGTGGTCCCAGCAACCATACAAGGGAGAGAGAGGGAGGAAGAAGCTATGTGCTAGCCACCCTTGGATTTCATGGCCATGTCCTTCTCTTCCTTTCTTTTGGGAAAGTTTGGGTTGCTGGAGACATATATGTGTGTGCTGCAGGGCAGCCTTCCAGGAAGGACAGCAACTTGGAGGGGTGAAATTGGCTGCTATCCTCCTTTTGTGACCCCATGGATGGATAAGTGAGCCCTGTGGCTGTGGCAAAAGGCAGAAGACAAGAGGCGGTGAGTACTTCCATTTGCCTTGGAGAGCTTAACAGCAGAATCCCTAATAACAGCCAGGTGGTTTCCAGGCATTAATCGAAATACCTTATCTTAATGCAGGGTGCTACTATCCTTCTTTCTAGTGGCTGTGGAGACAAATAGCCCAAAAGTTGCTGCTAAACCACTTTCCACAGCTTCCTCTTACTTTGGTAGATGATGTGGTTATTGCAACATAAGGTTGCCAGCCTCGTGTAGCCCTACTGTGTCAAATTAATACGGGTAAATTTCTCCTCTCATGTGGAGCCTGAGACTAGAAAAGTGAGCCCTGTGGTTGTGGGAAGTAAACAGGCAGTGAGTGTTTCCCTTAGCCTTGGGAGTTTAACAGCAGATTCCCTAAACGCAGCCAGGTGGCTTCTGGGCATTGAGATATGACCCTGTTTCCTTAATGCATGGGGCTGCTATCCTTTTCCCTAATGGTGTGGAGATAGATAGCCCAGAAGCTTCAGCTAAACCACCTTCCACAGCTTCCGCTTTCTTCAGTAGATGCTGCGGTCATTGCAACATAAAGTGTCCATCCTCTCACTCTAAGCCCTACTGTGGTGGATTTAGTGAAGTGCTCAGGCCGGTTAGGGAGAGTCCCCTGGGAAAGTCTGTTACAGGCTATTTTGCCACTGAATGAACTCCTGACACACCTAAAAAGATAGGAGGTTCCATTGAGGGCGTTAAGCAGGATCCTCTTTGTTTGCCCAAGTAGTGCCCTTGTTTCACAGAAAGTTGCCTCTTAGTCCTTTAAGGGATCCTAAGAAATGGTTACAGGCAGGAAAGGCCATGATTGCCAAATGGTTTAGACAGTGTACCTCTCTAACCTATGAAATTCAGAGTTTCTTCTGATTCCATCAGCTTTGAGAGTAAGAGCACACGCTACTAGATCTGGCATCCGGGGGGAGAAGACAGGACATCAGTGGAGCAGATCGGCAGATCAGCCATATAGTGAAGGGAAGGTCCTGCAGGCAGTGGTCCCACCCTAAGGTAGGCCTGTAGATACTTGATTATCCTCTCAGGTGTGCTGTCCTGAAAAGTGAAAGGAGAAATACAACCATTACTTACCGATAATGGTATTTCTGTGAACCTTCCAGGACATCAGGCTTACTTCCCACCCTGTTAAGGGGGAGAAAACTCCTAAAAGTAGTATGTGGTGAGTACCTAGGTAGAATTATTCCCCTCGTGGACCGATTTTGGGAGTTACTTTATTACAAACTGAAGATCAAGGGGAAGGGTAGGGACTTTTAACAGCTGTCAATTGATTGTGTTGCCAGAAGGAAGGAGCCTCTCATTTCTTAGGTGTGCCGTCGTGGAAGGTTCATAGAAATACCGTTATTGGTAAGTAACGGTTGTATTTTACTTCATGTCTGATCTGTGCACGCAGTAAGACACCTCGGTCTTCTCCTTTGGGGTTGCTCCAAAACCACTTCCTGTTACATCAAGACCATGGAGATCAATTTCTATGGTCCATGGTCCATTTTCTCCCTCGAAAGAGATGACCACTAACTTGGTAGTCATCAACTGCCTCACTAAGATGGCTCATTTTTTATACCTGTTAAGGGGGTACCCTCTGCTGAACAAACTGCTGAGTTGATGATTCTAGAAGTCTTTAAACTACATGCAATTCCTGATGATGTAAGGTCTGACAGGAGGAGTATGGTTTACTTAGACATTTTGGAAAAGCTTTTAATCAGCTTTAGGTGTAACACTTAATCTGTCCTCTGCTTTTCATCTTCAGTGTAATGGCCAGACCAAAGGACCAAGATATCACCCAGTTTTTATTCCTGATCTCCCTATCTTAGCTTCAATTCCTGCTGTTGCCAACAGATTAACTACATTGCAGGAGATTCAGGATAAATTGACTAATATTTTGAAGGAGGCTCAGGAATATTTCAATAAGACCACCAACAGACATTGCATATCACTACCCACTTTTCATGTGAGTGACATAGTTTGGTTTGAAGGTTTATGCTCTATCTGCTAACTTTGGTCAAATGTTTGCAGGACGTTTTCAGATCTCTTCTCAAATCAACCAGATCACCTTTCGCTTAAAACAAACATATTCTTTACAATTTCCTGTTTATACATAGTGCTTTCTGTGTATTTGCCTGACCATGATGTACTCATTGTTTTTCTATATACTTCCTTCACCTGTCACATTTTATGTAAAAACTAATCTTACAAATAAAGAATGTAAAAAAATGCTAAAAACTTCCTGACAGTATGAAGAATCACTCTGTTTTTCATGTGTCGCTACACAAACCATTTCATGAAAATCCTTTCTCTGGAAAAATTCTTCCATCTACTCCACCTGTTGAAGTACAGAATTTAAGATTGAGAAAAGTCTTGATTCCAGGATCTTTAGGAACAAATTACAATATCTTGTTCAATGGGAAGGATATGGGCCAAAGGAAAATTATTGGGAATCTGAGGAGAATGTTCATGACCCTAGATTAACAAAATAATTCCTCCAGAGGTTTCCTCACA